ATATAGTATACTAGAAATTTCTTTAATCCAGTAATCTGTCATATTTTACATTAGAACGGGATTTAGCAGAAAGTCTACTCTCTCATCTTTTCTGGAAATCTTAATTTTTGTGTCCTGCTATCAGCCAGTTTCCGTCCTCTTATATCAGCAGTGAAAAATGATAAATAATTCTGACTTTTATTTCTGTCAGGCTTAACTGACAGAAGTTGGAAAAAGACAGATTCTCTTGGTGTTTAAAAAATAACACAAAACAGCTTAAAAGGACCTCTTCTATTTATTTATTTTACAATTTTTCTTATTGCACAGACAGAATCAGACTGCAGAGCTTCTACATACAGTATCTTGACATTTTGTTTCTGGCATCATGATATTAGTAGAGAAGTTTGTGGATCTTTTTAAACAGAGCACAGAGAGAAGTAGGCAGAGTTGCAGATTTAAAGGTGAAACAGATTTATATATATTTAGAGATATATTTTATTGCAACATGCAACAAAATATATCTCTAAGTTTACCAGAAAGTTTACAAGAAAGAAAATATGCTATGCTATATTTAAAATGCAGCACATCCATATTTTTCTGGATGGAATTAAAATTGTACTTCTAGGGATGCATGATTTATCGATATTGGCACCGAAATCAGTTGTTATTCTTTTATACATTAATGTTTTTGGGGCTCTAAATGTGTAATGCACTAAAAGGCATCTGTCTACCTACCTATAAATATATTGTATTGTGGTACTCTTGTGTTCTCAACAATAGGAGAGCATTTAATAAATATATGTTTGAGCTCATTTATGAAAAATATAAAAATCTAATGAAAGCGTTCGGGTTGAGTAACTGTGGGTCCATCAGCCTCCACCCGAGCGTCCCCACCAACTTTCATTACAAAGTTACACACTTGAATGTTGGTATGAAATCAGTCCAAAGACAAAAGTTTATAACTTAAGATGCAGCTAGTTAGAAAAAGACATTATAGACAGAAAAAAATCCTGTACTAACGTTATAGGGGTGTAAATCACATCCATCATGGCGATTCGATTCAGTATCAATTTCCTGACCCAATGATTCGATTTTTTTCGATACTCAAGAATACACCACTATGCGATTTGATTCGATTCGATTAATCGGTTAATTTTTATTTTTTTTATTTTTTTTACACAAGTTTGAAATAAATCAATGAAAGCTGTAATATCATTATGCGTTTTTTTTTTTTTTTGAAACAACAGCAAATAACAGAAGTAGAAAAGTTGCATCAAAAAATACTGCACAAAATCAGTGCAATCAATACCTCGTCTCCAGACGTCCCGCCCCCTCCAGAGACGCTCCGCTGCTCCTCTCCCAGATTGTAGCTGATCGCAGACAGTGCAGCAGACAGGAGGCCGGCTGGTTTTGTTTTTATGACCGAAATTGCGGAAAAAAACTCATGAAGTTTGACCCGCTAGAAGAGCGAGGTGTGCGAGAACGCTGGGACCCTTTTTCCACCTGGATCTCCGCTCTTTTTGGCCCTCATGTCCCTCTGTTGTCGGACTAAACTCGCCCCCACTTCCTCGCCGCCTCGGCCGTATCTAGACCCACAGCCTGTAGCACAGACCACGCTTCAATATTGAGCATAAATCAAAAATGTCTGCGTCAAGCTCACTAAAACACACTAATGCAAGAGTATAACCAGGAAGAGAGGTAGGAGGGCAAAATAGGTTTAGCGCCGCTGAAGCATGGGTGG